CTTTTACTATTCAGTATGTTGGATATGGATCTATACTTTATTTGCATAAAAATTTACTTCTGGGTTTTCTACTACACAGATAATTCTTTGTGGACTAAGATCATTATTTTGTATTGCCCAGCATGGAGTTTTGTGCATCAAGCTCAGGTTTCCCGATTGCATTGTCTCAGTAAAAAACTAAGATGGTATTGGCCAACCATTTATCAGATTCTATTATTTTTCTGAGACAGAGTCTCATTCACTCTGTTGCCCAGGCTGGAGTGCAATGGCATGATCTCAGTTCATTGCAACCTCTGCCACCCTGATTCAAGCAATCCTGTCACCTCAGCCTCCTGAGTAGCTAGGATTACAGGTGCACACCACCATACTCAGCTGATTTTTATATTTTTAGTAGAAACAGGGTTTCATCATATTGGCCAGGCTGGTCTCACACTCCTGACCTCAAGGGATCCACCTGCCTTGGCCTCCCAAAGTGCTGGGATTATAGACATGAGCCACTGCGCCCAACCCAGATTCTTCTTTTTAGGTGGACCAACTCTAAATATGAATTCAGGTTTTCACATGGTCAAACCCATAGTACTTGCTAGGTTAAAATTACTAATCAGTCTATAATGTTGACACTACTACCATGGGAGTGTTAGAATGAAAACACTATATATCCACTAACTCCTAATAATATTGCTTTCCTTGATTTTACTAGCTGCTGAAGATGCAGGAGGTGGTGATGATAAGAAGTCCAAAACATGTTTAATGTTGTAATATAATCTAACCGGTCTAAACTTCAAATATCATTGTACCTTTGAAGAAAACCAGAAAATATTCAAAAGAACTTCAGCAAATCATCAAGTAACAGAGTAAGAGGATCTTCAGAAAAACTACCCTTTGACTATGAGGAAAATATATATTGCTAGCCCGAAAACCCCAAGGGCAAAATAAAGTTCAACAAAAGTGCAAAATATGACAAAAATGGGTACATTTTTGGTGCCAATTTATTTTAAATTAAAAAATATGCAATCCTGAAACTAGTCACAAATTATTTTTTTCAAACATTAATTGTGTTTATTTGCTGAGGCTGCCATAACAAAGTACCACAGACTGGGTGCTTAACCAATAAAAATGTATTTTCTCACAGTCTTGGGGGCTGGAAGTTCAAGATCAAGGAGTTGGCAGGATTGGTGTCTTGTGAGGCCTCTCAACTTGGTTTGCAGATGGCCATCTTCTCCCTGTGTCTTTACATGGTCATCCCTCTGTGTGACTGTGTCCTAATCTCCTTTTCTTATAGGACTCCAGTAGGATTGGATTAGGGCCCACGTGCGTGACCTCATTTTAGTCTTAAATTACCTCATTAATGGCCTTATCTCCAAATACAGTCACATTCTTAAGTACTGAGAATTACGACTTAAACATATGAAATAGGTGGGGGTGGAGGAGACACAATTCACCCATAACATTTATAATTGTGATTCATACCTCAAGCCACTCCCTGAACTAAAATCTTTCAATATGTCTTAATGAAAGGGTAAATGCAATATAGAATGTATAGTGTTGTAAATATGGTATAGAAAACAAAGTAATGATGTCATTTTTATTCAATGTTATTCCATCTGAAATGCTTATCTCTTTCCTCTACTTTTACTCTTGATAATAGAATGATGAAGACCAAACCATTTTTTGGCAGCTTATTAAAACTATGCCTCTGTCCTACACTCCTCCTTCAAAGTTTGAAATCAATTATTTTATGTGTAACTAAGAATATTTTTTATGGTTCAGAACTATTCATTAAAAGGATTATCAAAGCACAAGATACCAACTGGATAATCCCAATGCAAGTTAAAGCAGCTAATGAATATTATGCATTCAGAAGCATGTGATTGGATTATGCAAGAACTTCCTTACCAAAAACAGTGTGGAAAATCTTCAGCTAAGACTGCTTTCTAAAAATGATTAATAGAACTACCTACCAGGCATTCTAAATATTAAACTGTTAAGAGAAACTAAGGGCAGTCAACTACTTCCACTGCATGGTATATGTCTGTCTGGATATCACAGAAATTTAAGATTTCTTCCTTTACTTAGCTATAATCATAGATAAAATTAGGAAACAGAAATAATATAGTTATGCCATATGTTTGTCATAGTTTTTTTTTGTTAAAAGCTATCTACATTATAATGAATCGAAGATCAATGAACCTATATCTTTTGTAATGAACCTATATCAATTTTGAGCAGCCAAGAAATAAATCACCATTTGTTTGATTTTTACAAGTCAGGTACTTAGAATTGTAAGACTGCTTCTCTCACATTAGAATGTAAAGTTCATGAGGAAAGATTTTTGTCTATTTTGTCTGTTTTGTTCACAGCTCTATTTTGGCACCTACAGTAGTGCCTGGCACATGGTAGGCACTCAGTAATATGAATGAATACTATTGTGAGTAAATGTTACAACAGATATAAATAAGATATGACAGTAAGTCATACGTACACTCAAATGAGTGTTTATTAAAGTAATCAACTTAGCTAAGTGATGCATGCTCCCTTATTTCCATTGCTTAAGATAATTTTGAAACTCCACTTCCAGAATCACTATCATTTTAAAAGCCAAGTAAGAAACTTTATATTCCGTTAGCCCTATGTAATTTTGAACTCCAAAATATCAGTCAGCTCAAACAACTTCCCCTCCTTAGTCACCAGAAATTGTTTTGAGGGTACAGATATCTACCACTAAAGGTCTGCCAAATACATGAACTCTGCATAAGAGCAAGTATAAGAAAGCATAACTTCAACACCCCAGACCAATGGTCTGCTGACCACCACTGACTGCACCATAGCAAAGTTTGAGATAGATATGTAGGAGGATTACTTTTTAAACTCATCATGTTAGAGGCCTTTTCAAGACTCCCAAAAAACATGACCCCCATTATCTGTCATTGTGTATGAATGGATTAAATGTTGTGATTTTATATTATAAAGGAGCCTGATGTCATAAACCATACTTGAAATACCAAATATACTGATCTATTTTTAAAGGGTCCTTATATATTCTTCCTAGTTAAATTCCTAATTTAATTTTGCAGGAATTTTATTTCCCAACGACCACTAAACAAAGGACATATTTTATATTTTACCATAAGAATGTTTAACTGCATATATTCTACCACGGATATCAATCTTGCTGCTGGACATTTCAAACACTTTTTCCTCACAAATATAGATTCGTTTTTATACACTATAAGTAGTGAAGTGAAAAAAAATCAGTTTCTTCAAGTGAGGGGACTATCAAACAATGTTAAATACTGATAAACCCAACACTGATTTACTTTTCGAAAGAGGTTCAGAAATGATTGCATAATTACTTCCCAGCTAGTTCCTTTACAGACAAGCCCCGCTCAGTGCCTAACACATAATAGAAGCTTGATAAATATTTGTGGAATAAATAACAACTGTTTAATAAAATGAAAATACCTGATAATAATCATTTTAAAATAAGATACCAAATTACTTATTTTGGAGTTTAATGCCAATCATTCCATGTTTAAATTTTCAATAAAATACTTGCTTATGTTATGATCATTTTCTATATGTCTTTTCTCTTATTCATCAAGTCATGCATCTTCTCCTATATCTATCCATCTATTTGCTCTTTATAAAAGCAGGTATTTACCTGTTTTTGGAAATCAATAAATCCTTTTGAAAATTTGATTTTTGAAAATTTGACACTTATGGACTTCCTCCAAAAAACGTATCATAGACACAGAAGTTTACACATAGATTCTAAAAAGGCATGGATCTCCTGAAGCATCTCCATAGACCCGTATGAGTAAGACCTTATGTTAAAAAGTTACATTTTATAATATATTTCTGCATAGAAGATGTATTAGTCCATTTTCATGCTGCTGATAAAGACATACCCAAGACTGAGAAGAAAAAAAATTGTAATTGGACTTACAGTTCCACATGGCCGAGGAAACTTCAGAATCATGGTGGGAAGCAAAAGGTACTTCTTACATGGCAGCAGCAAAATAAAATGAGAAGGATGCAAAGCAGAAGCCCCTGATAAAACCATCAGCTCTCATGACACTTATTCACTACCATGAGAACAGTATGGAGAAACCGTCCCCTTGATTCAAATTATCTCCTACTAGGTCCCTCCCATAACAAGTGGGAATTTTGAGAGTACACATTCAAGATGAGATCTGGGTGGGGACACAGAGCCAAACTATATCAGAAGTATATTCATAATTGTATAAGTGTATCCAAGGTAAGCTATATGTACACAGTATTATTCAGTTAAATTATCTCATTGCATAATCTCTGTTAGAGAGTTAATTTTGTGAACACATGCACTATTTTAGACTACTAGGACCTCACTGGCTCCCTGTGGTAATCATTTACTTAACAGTAAATTATCCACAGGCTAAGAAGTCAAATTTGATTATAACAACCTCTCTTAAGTGGTAGAGGTAAGAAGGAAGCAAGAGACAGGCAAGCAAAAAACTCCAAAAAGCAGCTGGAAATAGGTGGGAAAGCAGGTGCTTAATAGAAGGGTGCCAGTTTATCAATGGGAAAGAAAGAGGTTAAAGACATACATAATCTACTTTAATTCTAGTAATTTAAAATAATTGGCACAGCACAGTGGCTCACACCTGTGATCCCAGCACTTTGGGAGGCCAGGGTGGGAGGAATGCGTAAAACCAGGAGTTTGAATACCACCCTGGGCAACACAGGAGGACTCTGTTCCTACAAAAGAAAAAAAATTAAAAACAAACAAACAAATCCAATACGGTGGCTTAAAAAAAAGAAAAAATAATAAAAAATATAATGAAGGCAAGAGAAGATAAATAGAAATCAGTGAAAAAAATATATAGGAACAATGGAATCTGTACAGAGTATGAGCTCTATCCCCTAGGAGCTACAGATAAAACAGAATTGTAGATAAGCAATTGAGAAGATATTTAAAGGATAGGGAAGTCTTTAATTGAACTAATGAATTTCCAAAGTAATTGATATTATGAGAGAACTTGGATTTTTATTTCCAAAGACAAACCACACAAGCTGTAATTTGCAGATAAAAACTTACATAAAATTTCAAAGTGTCTGAAGTTTAAAACTTCATAAAGTTTCACATTAAGGAGCGGAGGCTTCTTTCTCTCGTCTCACAGAAACAAGCCCTGAAAATACTCATCGAACTCTTCTTCCCTATTTTAAAAAAAAGCATACATATTAAGATCAATAATTAGAGTAAAAAATCACTACATGACACATTATATAAGATTAATAAAATAAAATACTTTAAGTCAACATATTGGCTGATTCTGCTGTATATCAATATATTCTCACAATTCAGCCATCAAATAATTCTTAGTTTCTAAAATGATCATAACTATACCCAGATAAAAATAAAAATATTTCATATGTTGGCACCTATCCCTAAATGTATTACCCAAAATTTTGTTTTGAAATACTTGTGAAATGTCATTGCTTCTCTTTAATTTTTGGTCTTACTTTATCACTTCTCTGTTCATTCTCATTTTAAACTATAGTCTCCTCAATAAATAAATTTAAAAAACTATTTTTAAAGAAAAATGTAAGTCTAGGTTACATTGGGGAATAACTAAGGGGAGTTGGGTAAATCTGCTTAGGCTGTAGTTCTTTTACTACTCTGAGCATAGTAAATATATTATGTATTTGTAGCAGTAGATATATTGTTTTATTTTTTTAAAACAAAAACTAGTGTGACCACAGTGTAGAAGGGTACTTCCCATGCAAGGGGCTCAGTTGCATAGGTTTATGATAATCACAGTATCATGGAATAGGCTTCTCCGATACAGCCATCTCTGAAGAAATCCAAGCAAGGACCAGAAGGTCATCTTTTAAAGTGAACTGATCAAAGATTTATTTACCAGGAGGAAGCTGGACATGTTGGCTGCTTATGACAATGGCTGGGAATAAGCTCTAATCTTACCAGACTAGGCAGTCCTGGGTATTAAACAGATCATCATGATGTTGTATTTTTTCGTTAATAAAGCCGTGGTGATAGCTTCTAAACTGATTTAAAAGGTACGTATTATCCAAAAGAAATTAGGCGGGTGTGGCAGTGTGCACCTGTAGTCCCAGCTACTCAGGCGGCTGAGGCAGGATAATTGCTTGAACCCAGCAGGTGGAGGTTGCAGTAAGCTGAGATTGCGCCACTGCACTCCACCCTGGGTGATGGAGCTAGACTCTGTCTCTACCAAAAAAAAAAAACAAAAGGTATGTATTATCTACTAATATCAGTACTTACTGTGATTTTTCATCTGTCTCTGGTAGTGGACCCTTCCAAAGTTCAGATTCTGAAGTATTTTCTTCCTTATCAGAGTTTCCTGTTAATTTAAAAGAGATGATTTTTAAAAATGTATTATACTTAAAACACATTTTTAACTATTTACCAATACAGTTAACTTTTTATTTAACTGAGCTTCAACTTTTATGGCTCTCCAGAAGTTTAATTCACTCTCACAGGTATGATAAATTCTTTTAAAACATATATAAATAAGCTAAAAAATACCAGAGTCTCGGCAAAAAGGCCAAGGATTTTTAAGTCTCATGGAAACTTCTCTAAGTTACACTGAGTTAAAGTAGCAACTCCAATATTAACTTTTGTAAGTGAATTATCTCTTGCAATATAGTTGTCTCTGACCTAGTTTCTTCTTTTTCTTGGTTCCATAGAAGACATGCAAGTTAAGATTTACACTTGTAGAGAACATATTTACATTAGAATTAGCACCTTAAGAACTGAGCTAGTATGTAAGACCAGCTAATTAAATTATTATTTTTTTAAATTGTTAGACATTCTAAAAAACCAATGCTGATTACATAATTGGAAGAAGCCTGTTTCAGTGAAGAAATTGGCATTCTCACACATTGCTGGGAGTGAAAATTCTGTAAACCTTCTTGAGGAAAATCTGGCAATATAGATCAGTTTAAAACACATACCCTTTGACCAGCAATGCTGCTTTTGGGAATTTGATTATTTACATAGATAAATAAGCACCTCTGATACATATGTACAAAGATACACATGGTATAACAACAAAAAAAAAATCCAACCTAAATTACCACGAATTAGGGATTAAGGACTGGTTAAATACTATACAGCTGTTTAAAAATATCAGCATATCTGTATGTACTGCCATAGAAAAATGTCCATTCTATACTAAATTTTTAAAAAGTTACAAAAAGTATGAATAGTATAATATATATGTTAAAAGTATATACATGTTATATACATACATGTAATTTTATATATGTATCATAAGTTTGCAAAAACCAACCAAACTTAACAGTGATTATATTATCTGTGGGTTTGGAATACTTTTACTTTCTATTTTAAATATTTCTAAATTATTTGTATTTTAAACAAAGAGCATGTATTACCCTCAAAATCAGTAAAAGCGATATTTTATTTATAAAAACAAAACAAAATAGAGATATTTCAAATAAATCACCTTTATTAGTCAACTAAAAATTTAAAAATACTGCAAAATTATCAGGCAATAACACCATATTCCACAAAGTAGTTAAATCAGCAAACAATTCCTCTCCAATAACGATTATTAATCTAAAAAAGAAATGGCACAAATGTGGCCTGTCAATATAGAATGTCCTTTAGTTAAACACAACATAAAAATAAAACAGCATTGATTTGTTATGGTGGTTCTAGCCTTTTACCTGTTGGACTTTGAACCTTGAATCAACATGTGTGTCTAAACTTTGCTCCTAACTGAATCTATTCTGGCACCAATTCTAGCAAAAATAGCAAAAAGGGAGAGGGCATTTTGTACTCTAATGATCTACATACAAATGATAAAATTTCAATCTTGAAAACAAATTCCTGGCTCAATGACATCCATCACTGGAATGGCCAGTGTCCCAAATTTACAATATGAGGGAAAAAAGAATAAGAATCTTCTCCTATTTTTATGAAAACTCACTAATATGAGATAAAGCATAGAAAAACTAACTAGGCTAGTAAGGTTATTACTATGGTGTTACTCTGTTAATGATGCCAGAGAACAAAATCTACAAGGCCTTTAGAAGTGGGCAGCTAATTTCAAAAGGATTGACTCTGTTTTCTTATTCCCTTCCAGGAGTACTCCCCACATGCCAGCTTTCTTACACCAGTTTTCTGATATCAGTCAATCAATTTTACTAAAAAATCAACAGTTTAGAGTAACACTATAAAATAACTGTCTTTAAAAATGCCCACTAAAAATGTGGCCAGATATCCCTAGAGAGTCAAGTCTACAAGACTGGACTAAATGACCTTTACAGTCCCTTATAACCCTAAGAATCTACAGTAACCTGGTTTCCTGAAGGTTGGCAGTCACTACAAATCATTGCTATCACAACTGTTACAACCTACCAGAGGCGGGACGGCTATTACTAAGGAAAGAACAATTGGAAGAACAGGCAACACAAAAGAATGCATCACTGGCAAATAAATCTATTCAGTACTTATTGGCAAGTAGTGATCAGAATTTAAGTCACTGACTGAGTTGAAAGGGGAAAACCTGGAGGTCATTTAATCCAACACTTAGCCAATGAATGAACCTTTCACTGCAACACCTCCAGTAACAAGTGGCAATCCAATCCATGCTTGAACACTCACTACTCCAGAGGTAGCCCATTTCTCCATTCCTTTTGTCAGTCAGTTCTAAAGGACAAGTTTTTCCTTAAATTAATGCAAAAATCTGTCTTTGAGCAGTTCTGCCAATGCAGAGTCGTAAAAAATAAGTCTCCTACGTAGTAGCAGCCTTGCAAATATCCAGACAGTAATTTCCATGTCTACTTCCTCACCTCTTCCCTCCCATCCCTTCACTCGTCTCCCAGCTAAACATCTGCAGTTCCTCCAACATTCTCCCTAAACACAATTTCAAGTTCTCTCGATACCTCAGTTTTTTTCTTCTTGACCTGCTTCAAGTTTTCAATGTTCCTTTAGAATGTGGTGCATACAATAAGACTGCATACAATTTTCCCTGTATATTTTGAATAATGAAAGCAGGCCTATCATCTTGGTTTCTGTGGCTATTACATGATAACTAATAACTTGCCCTACTGAAGAAATGGCAAATGTTTCCAATAATCATGATAACAAATGGACAGGTCAGATTTTTACAGACTTAACTTTTCATTTCATCAATTCTAGAGAACAAACACAGGATTTCTACATCTGTCTTTTTCTTTTCTGATAATAACAGCTACGGGTTATCAAGGACTTACTTTGTGTCAGGCGCATACTTTACATGTATGTTTTCTCATTCAATTCTGATAATAATCCAACAAAGTAGGTCTCTTTATACCCATTTTATAGACAGAAGTGAAACATAGATGAAATCATTTAATGTGGATCTGTATAATGCATACGCCAAAACTGGAGTATAAAGAATAGATATAGCCGGGCGTGGTGGCTCATGCCCAACACTTTGGGAGGCTGAGGCAGGTGGATCATGAGGTCAAGAGATCGAGACCATCCTGGTCAACATGGTGAAACCCCGTCTCTACTAAAAATACAGAAAATTAGCTGGGCATGGTGGCACATGCCTGTAATCCCAGCTACTCAGGAGGCTGAGGCAGGAGAATTGCCTGAACCCGGGAGGCGGAGGTTGCGGTGAGCCGAGATCGCGCCATTGCACTCCAGCCTGGGGAACAAGAGCGAAACTCCATCTCAAAAAAAAAGAATAGACATACAGTTGATTTCACTGATGAACAACTGATTGATGATACAGGTAAAGGGCATAGACTTTGGAATTATAAACTTAAACTTATGTGTAATCCTAGCTCTGTCATCAACTACTTGACCTTGGACACTTTACTTCAATTCTCCGGTTCTTGGGAGATGTCATGTGCATGGTGACTACAGACAACAATACTTGAAATTTGTTAAGAGGGCAGCAAGTCATCAGTATATTTTAAATACACACATTTTTTAAAATTAAGTTTCTTCATTTATTTAAAAACATTCTCTAGGTCTTAATTTTTCTCATCTACAAAATAAGAATATTGTATGCCCATTATTAAGATTAAATGAGGTAACACATCTAAAGAACTTACTACTGAGCTGACAGAAAATGAGTTTTTTTCTCCATGGATTTGGTTTTAATAATCCATATGTTAAATGGGTTAAGAAGGTAACTGAGTATTATCCAAATGGAAATAAAACAAATAGCAAAATGTGATGTCTGAAATTGCCAAGACCATGTAATACACATGGCTGACTGCCTGAGAGGATATTTGGGGTTAGCATACCATAACAATGTCATCGTTTCCTGCTTGCTATGGTAAATAGCTTTCTGGCTGCCAAATAGCAGGTCAGCTTGAAATGGATAATTTGTTTTTTCAAGGCCAAATTAAGCTAGAGGTTTTTCAGATTGGATATAGTCTTCACAGTATTCACCCTGCTTCTACTAGTAAAAATTTCACTTAGTTGAGGAGAGGTAAAAGAGAGTTAAGGGTTATTTCTAGGAGGCAGGGAAGGATTCAGAGGGCAGGGGTGAAAGACAGTGGGAGGGAGAAGGCAGGCAGAAGAAATAAAAGAATAGCATCAATCAGTGATTCAAGAATTTCTTCCAAAATATTTTTAAATAATAAAAAATTAGAACTGAAAAAGGGGAAATTTTTCTACATTACATAAGCATTCACACCTCTCATTGTTGGAAATGGATGAAAACTAAAATACACTTTCCCACTTTAGCCTGTATACACTTTTGTTGAAGTATGTATCTGTGATTTCATCCTGAGCTAACATTGGTCCACTGGCCTTACAACCGGCTGTATTTTCGAAATTGTCACTACATTTCACCTAATTTAGGAAAGGACCTCCTGATAAATTAGAATTTACATGGGGAGAGAGTGTCAGTGCTTTAAGACACTTCAAATATGTTGAAAACAAAGTTGGTACAAGCAAAATAATTATAAGGAATATACTATATTCCTAAGTTAGAGGAATACCTCCATCAACATCTCCCTTCCCACTAAATTTTTAAACAACTATCTTAAATTTCTATTTTTCTCAGTGTAAAATTTCTGATCATTGAATATTTAAAATTTCTTGTTAAGAATTACACTAAATGCATATAATGTTTATATTTGAGTTGTGGAATTTGGAATAATTATCAAACTTTTTTCCCTGAGTTTGCCACAATAAATATTCATTATTTTAAAGTAAGAAAAAAAAATTTTTTTTTAATTCTTAGGTTTATAAATAAGCAAGTAAGCCTAGAAATCTCAAGTTTCTAAATTTCTATGAAATAAGTCCACAGAGTATAAAATGAATTAGATATGCTATTGAACTACACCTTATTAGTAGGCCTTGAGCCTACTATAAGTCTTTAAAAAATTCAACATCGTATTACTGCTTAGATTCAAAGCTACTGTTTGTTATGACACAAATTGCTGTCCCCTTTTACAAACCCATAGAAGACTCCTCTCTCAAAACTGCCAGGAAAAAGCTGAACACTCTAGGAGTTCTCATTGTGATCTTATGGGTACAATTAACATTTCTACTGCAGGTTTCACTCTTAGGTTTGGTTGTTAGGCAGAACACGGACAGATCTGTGACCTATCTTTGCAATTATGCAGGACTTTTGGGTATACATTTGTGTGTATCAATTTCACCCGTAGCGCTACATTGCTATTCTACCTTATTTTTTCATTATTCTGACTTTTTTAACCTTAAAAAACTTATTGTGTATGTTTTCATAAGTCATTGTGAATACTTTTTGGAAAGTTGCAGGGAAAAATAAAATTTGCAGCAAATACTCAACGAAAACCAATCTGTTTTGATCCAAAATAGTGAAAACCATAAGACTAATTTAAATCCATTACAACCTCATCCCTTTATTTTTCTTCCTTCACATTTTATAACATGAAATTGAAAGATATATCCATTGTATATACTGGAAATTTTTTTAAGGCTCTCTGTATTTAAGAAATTTAATATCCTTAATTGGGGAATAAATCCTATACACTTTTGGGCTTTTTCTACAGTTTTTCTCATGTACAAAAATAATTCACAAAAACAAAAAATAATTCACATCACAGCAAGATGCAATTCACGGGAAATCCAAATTGCAAATACCTCAAATGCATATTTTTATTAAATAAATACTTGTTACTTACTATTTAGAGAATCTTCTGATTTCTTTGAAGATGAATGCCCTTTTGAAAAGGAAACATCATTCACTTATTAAGTATCATCTTGTGGTAATACAATCACTGTAGTTGTAACCAGAATTCTTAGCAATATTCTAGTTTGCTTATAGTCTTACAGATAAGCACTTCACTGTGTTCTAATCTTTCATGTTCTGTAGTCTTATCTCCCTAATTAAAATGTTCTTTTAGGCAGGGATCATATCTTATATTCTCACATGGTCCGTAATAGCCAGCACAAAACTTAAAAAATAATGAGTACCTGCAAAAAAGCCAAAATCTCATATTGCTCAAAAGAAAACCTCACAGATTAGCTGCAATATAAGCAATAATTTATTATCTATAGAGATGTTCAACATTTGAAAGCAGTTTACAAATAAACACTTGCTTTTTACAATATCTTTTCTAAGGTCAGATATAGATGAGCATTAGTTCTCAGTAACTGATAAGAACACATACAATTACATCACAAAACGAAAATTCTCAGCTCTACAATGGTTATCCAGTGAGAGAAACAAAAAGAGAAAGGCACTGAAGATCAGTGAAATTTTTTTTAAAAAATCACCACTATACAGAGCTTCCTGCAATAAGACCTCAGGGAAAATATTTCTGAAGGATGATAAAGTAAAAAAGGGCAGGTGACAGATGGACAGTAACAATTCCTCTGATGTTCCTGGATAGGAGGCCTCATAACCCAAAGTTTTTGGCCCCTTTACACCAGATGAGGAGCACAAGAACTACAGGGTAAGGAAATAAGAAATATATTCCTTCCTGTCATCCTCTAATGAGAAACATGATACTGCTTCCCAATATCCAAAGGTCAATAGGTAAAAAAGACATTAGGCCTGATTTGGAGGCCCAAGGACATAATTAGACCCAAAGGGAGGAAGCTGTAGATTTGGGCTGAATGTTAAGAGAAACATGCAAGCAATTACAACTACCTGAAAATGTAAAGCATAATTTTTGATAGTAGTGGGTTCCTTTTCCCTGGAAATGTTGAACCGATGCAGAATAATCACATGATATACAGCAGTGCCTCTCTCAAACTTCAGTGCATATGAATCATCCTGGGAGCTTGTTAGTAGACCTGGAAGGGTCTGAGATTGTGAGTTGCTAACAAGTTCCCAAATGCTGGCCAGAGGACCATACTTTGAAAAGCAAAACTAACGAATGCCCTTCCAATCCTGATTCCAGGATTGATTTCTGAGGCTCCTTTCAACTTTGAAAAAATGCGGTTGAATTCACTGATTCACTCACCTACATTTATTGAATGCCTACTACAGGACCAAGCACTATCAGGAATTAGAGATAACGAAGTAAACATGTCACATAGTCTCTTCTCTCACAGAAAATAAACAAATTATTCCAAGGATACTATGTATTTCTAAGTAAGTGACAGGTATTATTGGAACGTGTTATAGGAATCTTATTTGGAGAAGTGAGGTGAAGGGTATCAGGAAGGGCCTTTCCAAGGAAATGAGCTAAGCTGAAACTTGAAGGATTAGGTAGCTTTGGGGAAAGGGGTGATGGTGAGAGGGCTAAGATTCTGAACATTTTGCCAAGACAGTCTACCTAAGTATCTTGTTCTCCCCACACCTGTCAAAGCAGGCTGGTCCTTAAAGTCAGCTATTGATCTTTCTTACTTTTTCTCTCTATCCTTTCATTTGGCTATCTAGTCATGCATCTATTACTTATTTAACATTTTCTAAGATGATAACCTAAAGCTATGAGAGTTGATGGGATCACACTGGGAGTACAGAAAGAACCTAGAGAAGTCTAGGTAAGAGCCCTGAGGAACTCTAATAGCTAAGAGTAAGACTGAGGAGGAACTTCAGTTAAAAGCAGCTAAGGAGGTCAGGTGTGGTGGCTCATGCTGGAATCCCAGAACTTTGGGAGGCCAAGGTGAGAGGACTGCTTGAGGCCAGGAGTTTGAGACCAGTCTGGGAAACAGCAAGACCCTGTCTCTGCAAAAAAATAAAAATAAAAAAATTAGCTGAGTGTGGTAATATGGGCCTATAGTCCCAGTTACTTGGGAGGGTGAAGGAGGAGGACACTTGGGCCCCAGAGGTTAAGCCTGCAGTGAGCCAAGATTATGCCACTGTATTTCAGTACTCCAGCCTAGGGCTTGGGTGTCAGAACAAAACCCTGTCCTTAAAAAAAAAAAAAAAAAAAAAGCATCAGTTAAGGAGAGGCCAGAAAAATAGAAATAAAATTAAAGGAAGTAGTTTTGAGGCATGTCAACAGTCCAAATACAGCTGAGATGTTAAGCATTTATTAATTACTCTTCAAATTTGATCCAAATTAAGGTGGTCTGGCAAGAAGGAATCAAGTCAATGATAAAGCAATTCTGGATAATCCCAGATAAAATATTAAAGAGTTCCACATGGTTTTCCTAAAAGTTAGCTAAAATTTTGTTATTTTCTGTTATATGCCATAGAAGCTGGGGTAAAAAAGCTGTATTTCTAGAGACTTTAATCTCAAAGGCACTCTAAATAGAGAATAAGAAACAGATGTCTCAATTCCATCCTGCTTTGGTTTTCTATCCCTGAAGAATCTTCAAAGTCTTTTATTCTCTCATTCTTTATTATTTATGCTGAACACAAATGAGCTAGTGGGGTGCTAGGGACATAGCAATGAACAAAGCAGGCAGAATCTCTGCTTCTCTTTGCCTTTTACATTGTCATATATGTAATAATGGAAAGTGTCAGGAGCCATGACAGCATTACAAATGAGAGTCCAAACTTAGATACAAGGTGGGGGATGAAATCAGGAAAGGATCCTTGGAAATGACATTTAAGAGCTTAGACCTGAGGGATGAGCTGGGATAGAACTGAAAGTTTTAGGAAGAGAAGACACAGCATCCATATAACCCCTAAAACTGAAAGAAGCTTGGCATTTCCAGAAACTGAAAGGCTACATGGGGGGAGTGTGAAAGTGAGGTACGGAGTGGTGAGAAACAAGACTTGTATGGTACACAAGTTCTGGATCACATAGAACCTTTTAGCTTTGTCCAGGATTTTGGTTACCAGCCTAAAAACAACAGGGAACCATTGATTTATGGAGACTGGATTAAGAGGAGGGAAGGTGGGATGGCAAGACAGTAGTGGAGCCCATAAGGAGAATGTAACAGTAGCCCACAAGAGAAAGTACAGTGATTTGTAATATGGTGGACAGAACCTGAGAAATACATACTCTGTGGGTAAAATTCACAGACCTTGATGACAAATTAAACATAAGTAACAAGGAAAAAGAAAGTATCAAGGATAACCCCCAGATTTCTGATATTAGTTTTTAGGTCAACATAAGTGTCATCTACTGATGAAACACTACAGGAAAAACATCTATAAGGAAGATCGCGTGCATATGTATGCTTAATATGAAGGGTCCAATCCCAGCCCTGAACCTGAGTATTCATCTACCCAATCTATTCTGATTGTACTCAGTTAACATTTTATAAAGTAAAGATGAATTCTTTCATTTGGAATATGCAGTGATTAACATGGTATCACAGTTGTGATAAGAATGAACATATAATACAATGAGGGCAACAAATTTCTAAGTAACATTAATATTTTACTAGCATATAAGGATAAGTTTTTAAAACTCAAAAGATATTTTTAACTTTTATTGGTTAAAATTTACCTTACAGTAGGAAATAATTAAGATAGAGACAAAAAGGCATTCTGCAACAAACGCTATCTCTTAATAAGCAATTAAAATAACACAGTATCGTCCTCTCGCCATCTATCAATTTTACGAAGTCTAAAGCTTGGTGACACCATACACTTGAAGCTATGGGAGTAGATGGGATCACAAGGACTTGTAGATTTAAACCCTGTCTACATAATGAATAAATCATGATGTGCAAGAAGAAGTAAATGCTTCTAAGAATGCAACCTATCTAATGACCTTCATAGCTGAAGCAAGAGAGCCCTCTCCTGTCCAAATATTGTATTAACATTGGCTTGAATCTAATTTAATTATCTACCTACTTTATTATGGGCTAAAAAAGCAACTAGAAGTACTTTCATAATAGCTAATATGTGCCAAGTATTATGCAAACTGCTGAATGAATTATCTCATTTCAATTTCTGAACAATTCTAAAAGGAATCATGACCATTTTACACATGAAGGAGCTGAGTCTTAGAGGGCTTAAGGACTGCTGAGGAAAAAGCAAGCAGTTGATTAATGAACTTGAATTTAATAATTATTTACTAAGTATATATGTACAGCACCATGCTAGGTTCTGAGAGCACAGATATAGGTCAATCTTTCTCATTTCTAGAAACTCATAAACTAGTGAAAAAAATCTGTAGACCATTATAAATAAAATCAATGTTACAATTTTATATTGATTTATAGATGATAGACTGTTTAAAGGCACTGTTCAAAATGACTTTCACATTCTTATTTGAGTTTCTCCAATAAACTTGCCCAGTATGAAGGCCAGGTATTCACCTCACCCCTATACACGTAAGAAAAATAAAGCAGTTCAATAACTTATCCAAAGTAACAAGTCTGTAGGTGACAAAGCCAAGAATTAGAAAACTACTGGCAATAGTATACTATCTGCCAAAAATGAACTAAAATTAACCCTTAATTAACTTACAGGAGTTCTTAAAACTCCTGTAAGTCACTTTAAATTCATATCTAAATTCTCAGCCAGTTTCAACTACCGTAAAATGAAATTCTAAATGCATTCACCTATTGTATGAATGAAATACAGCAGATTATATTTCATGCTCATAAATACGAGTAGATCCCTTATCTTAATTTCCTTTTACCTTTATCTTTTTTCTTGGAAACCTCTTCTGCAGAAGATAATCTGGATTTTTTATGTGATGACTCTTCACTATCTTTTTTGGTTTTATCTTTTCTTTTCTTTGACTTGATTTCTTTTCTCCTTCATGTTAAACAATAAAAAATTAAAGTTAACTTTTCCAACTGACCTTTTCAAAAATAAAAACCAATGAACAAAAACAAAAATCAGTTAAAATACTTATTTTTTAAGTGTAATTCATATAATAAGGAAACTTAAGTGAGTCTGTGAATATTTTAGGCCAGTATATTAATTAAAACCATTCTGTAAGATAATGAAGTCTAAACACTGAGACAAATAATTATTTTCTCTAAGTCCTGTATACACTATAGTAAAGACAAATTATAATTGTACTTGTTTCCTTCTTTCTATATTCTATCACTTAGCCATTTAAAACAAAATTATAAAAACAAATCTCATTTCTCTTCACATAATCCATATCTATCTACATGTTTAAAAAGCACAAACGAGATGAAACTTCTGTAACAGCTCTAAACTACCAGTAAATAAAAATTTATTCTTTTAAGAATAAAGGAATATAGTAAAAGCATATGGAATGAAAATGGAAAGGGCTTATTGTTAATGCATATATCAGCATCAGGCCACTTATAATTTATACTCTTACTGTTGCAGCTTTATCTCTTCTAGACCAGGTTTACAAGGTTAGCAAGCAAGTAATTTTAATAGGTTAAGAAAAGAAATACTAAACAGGAAAAGGTGATAATGCTGAAATTGGGACTGGCAAGGAGGATATAGACAAAGAGAAAGATTACTTTCAAAAAACTTGCTTAGCAGATTTTCCAAGTTAAAGTGCATATACCAAATGCTATAATAGTATTTAATGCAGTAACCACTCTTGCCTCTTTTGTAAGAATCACTTCCATTTTGAAATGAAGCTCAAAAGTCAAGGTCAAAATAAATCTCTGGTTTCTTTAAGTATCATCGATGGGAAGGGAAAATAAAGGTTTAGGCCATTCAAGTAATCTAAAAAAAAACCCTGGCTGGGTGTGGAGGCTTATGCCTATCATCCCAGCACTTTGGGAGGCTGAGGCAGGAGGATTGCTTGAGTCCAACAGTTCAAGATCGGCCTGAGCAACAAAGGGAAACACCATCTCTACAAAAACTTTAAAGAAAATTAGCCAGGTGTAGTGACATATGTCTGTAGTCTTATCTACTCTGGAAGCTGAGGTGGGAGGATCACTTGAGCACAGGAGGCTAAGGCTGCAATGAGCCATGATCACACCACTGTGCTCCAGCCTGGGCAACAGAGTGAGACACTGTCTCAAAAAAATAAAGAATAATGAAAGTAATAAAAATAATCCTGCTAATTTTAAGAATTAAAAATATTACTTAACATTTAACAGCTAAAATACTATACAGGCACATTTATAACAAAGCTGTTATTTCAGGTCTGATTTCAAAGCCCAGGATCTTATATATACTGCAGGACACTAGTATTCCTACACATTCATGTGGCAGATACATTAGAGCTCATTCAATAGGAGCTTGATTTTAACTTTTTGTTTGTTTGAGACAGAATTTCTCTCTGTTGCTAGGCTGGAATGCAGCTCACTGCAACCTCCGCCTCTCAGGTTCAAGCAATTCTCCTGCCTCAGCCACCCCAGTAGCTGGGATTACAGGCACCCACCACCACGTCCGGTTCATTTCTGTATTTTCAGTACAGACGGGGTTTCACCATGTTGGCCAGGCTGGTCTTGAACTTCTGATCTCAATTGATCCACCCACGTTGGCCTCCCCAAGTGCTGGGATTACAGGCATAAGCCACTGCACCTGGCCTTGATTTTAACACTTAAAATAATTATAGAGGTGTCTAATCCTTTGTAAGAATGGCAAACTCCAGTTAAAACACTGTTTAAATGAGACACAAGAACTGCTTTATGAAGTCTGCTTTACAACACAATTTCTAATATTAAAGTGTCTGAACATTGGCTCCAAACTAAAAATTTTAACATCCATCTACCACACCACATAGGCCTTCACATTTAAAACTGCTTGGCAGGAATAGGGCATGATGGACTTCTTTTTTTTTTTTTTTTTTTGAGAGAGGGAGTTTCGCTTTTTTTCCCCGGCGGGGGGCAAAAGGGGCGGTCTCGGCTCACCGCAACCTCCGCCTCCTGGGTTCAGGCAATTCTCCTGCCTCAGCCTCCTGAGTAGCTGGGATTACAGGCACGCACCACCATGCCCAGCTAATTTTTTTGTAGCTTTAGTAGAGATGGGGTTTCACCATGTTGACCAGGATGGTCTCGATCTCTTGACCTTGTGATCCACCCGCCTCAGCCTCCCAAAGTGCTGGGATTACAGGCTTGAGCCACCACGCCCGGCTCCATGATGGACTTCTAAACACCTGGTTTATGTAGCCATATAACAATACCAGATTTTCTACACAATCAGTCAATTCAACCATCAACTACTCGAGTCTACATTTAGACATTTAGTGCAGGTAAATGACTATATCCTGGATTACTAAACATTAAGAATGGCATTTTAGAAGACATTACCTGTGATGAAAATTTAATTTAATGGAACATTCTTGGCATAATCCTAAAAAGAAAAGACACCACTGAATGGCTAATTTTGAATATTTATACTGCCAATCTACTTTTAATATCATAAATTCTCACTTTATATTCCATTACTATAAAAGGGGGAAACAATCTAAAGAAAACAATCTAAACTTCACCTCAAAAATGCAAATATATACACACGTACATGTAATAAACTTATTAGAATGCTTAAGGAATTGAAAATATTCTAACAGTACTGTAGAAAAATGTGTTGTCAATTTATTCTAAAAACAAACTGTGTTCCACAAGCATGTTAACATGTGTCTCATATCAAAGATATCTAATGATAATGTGGGCATAGTCATCTCCTCTGAAGTGCTCTAAGAACTTTCAAATACAAAGGAGCTTTTCAAATAGTTCCATAATAATTGTGGTTTTTTTGTTTTGTTTTGTTTTGTTTTTGCCTTAATCTTAGTCCACACTGGCTGACTTTTCCTCTTGAGCAGTTCCAGAAGGAACTCCAAAACCAGTCTGTACTGATATGCATAAGTAGCATGTAGGGACATTCTCAAATTTTATTAGGTATGAACAGAAAACTCTGAAGGAACATTTATTTAGGAACCAGAGAAGGTTAAAGGCAATAATAAGATGAGGGAGAGGAACAGTTGACACATGAAGGTTAGCTTAAAAAATAAATAAAAGAATGACAGACTCTGAAACATGCATCCTAAGGGAAACTGCTGTATTCTGGAGTATTTATTCCCTATGGTTTTAAGACTGATGTCAAGAACAATTATGCCTTCCTAAAGCTAATACCGTCAGAGTGAATTTATTTATTGTCTGTGCTACAACAATATCCCTGAATAATCAGCTAATGTGAGATTCTACACTGCCTTTTCTGATACTGTGCCCCTTAGCTATGTAACTTGGCGACATTCTCAAGTTAATGAGAACAGATCTCCACTCTACAAATTACCAGTTTACATTTGACATTAGAATTCTTTTTACCAAAACACCACTGTAATGCTAAAAATGTAAAAATTTGAGGCTCAAAAGTTTTTTGAGACTTTGGGAAGCTCCAAGTAAAAAGAGCACATCCAGAAAGATACGTTAAAAATCATAATTGAATTTTAAAGTCTATATATTTTTAATTTTAAATTAAAGACAAACTTGGAAGAATCAATCACATCCCCCCTAGAATCAACTTACTTAATTTAACAAGTGCATTTCTCTTTTCACCATGCTCAGTATAACCAAAATTAACTTCCCAACTCTTTAAGCCTTCTTTTTTATCACAATATTTATTTCCACAGACAAATTGACCTGCAGAAAGGAAAAGAATATTAACTATGATAGTTGGTGACAATATTTATCTGTATGATCTAGTACTATAAAATATACTTCTAAAATATGTAAATTATTAGCCATATTTAGTAAGCCTTTAAAAACTGACCACAATAATATGTTCAATCAACTTGTATACAAGTATCAAATCGAAGTACTATTACGAAAAAAATAAGTCACAGAACTCTTGCTTGAAAGACTGTATACAGACAGACATTTTGTGACTCCCTATTAGGGAATCTTACACTTTGGAAAGAGAGTATTAAAGAATGGACATATTTCTCAGAAAGTTGGTTTAAAGAAAAAAAAAACAAAACAGTATACTCACAAATACCCCAAAAGAAAAAACACACTTTCCAAAGTACATGCACTTATGGCTGGTTGAAACCTTTCCATATTTAATGGTAATAATAAAGTTAGTATTTTTAAGTATTAACATAATGACATTTATTTTAAATACTAGCATAGATGGCCTTGAAAACACATTTAAAAATTCTAGCACTTTGAGGTGAAATATTATATGTAGTCAAACCTGATACTCTAAATTTTAGAATAACTTGACACTACTATTAACATGACACACATTACCATGTCCACAATATATTAAAACCTCCAAAAAAAGACTAACTGATGACCCGAGAGAAAAAAAGAGAAATGATTCAACAGTAATCTACTTTGGCAAAAAGACAAGACCAAACTTCTATAATTTATACCACAATAATTTGTACCAACAGGAGCAAATTTGTAACCAGCAAATCTCTTTTATAAAAATTTTAAAAATATTACCAAAATGAATTTAGAAAGTTATATCCTAAAAAGATTGATTTCTAAATCAGCCTTTTAAACTCATTCCAAATGAATATTTTATTAGATCTATATGTTTAGTAGGTAAGGCTTTGTTGTTAAAACAGCAACAAAATTATAACTTTATATAAGAAATCACATTAGTAGCTTTCTTTCCTTTTCCTAACTCATCCTTCATTAAGTTATATAAATTTAGAGACGGCCCATCAATTTTTTCTAAAAGGTAGCATTATAAACTCACCTGAAAAATCTCATTCAGTAAAAGTACAATATATTAAAATTGTGATAGATGTTTCAGGATTTCTCATTATTTTAGATAAAAACACAAACTAAAATATAACCCTAAGAAAAGTTAAAATAGCTTTAAATTTATTCTTTTAATTTATTCTTTTTCCTTAATGTTCTTTTATGGCACATCCAATTTCACACCCAACATATCCAATTTATGGAAGACATATATAAGCCACAGCAATAGCATAAATATTTAATCATTTAAAAAGGTAATCTATGGCAGGGTGCGGTGGCTCAAGCCTGTAATCTCAGCACTTTGGGAGGCCGAGGCGGGTGGATCACGAGGTCAAGAGATCGAGACCATCCTGGTCAACATGGTGAAACCCCGTCTCTACTAAAAATACAAAAAATTAGCTGGGCATGGTGGCACGTGCCTGTAATCCCAGCTACTCAGGAGGCTGAGGCAGGAGAATTGCCTGAGCCCAGGAGGCGGAGGTTGCGGTGAGCCGAGATCGCGCCATTGCACTCCAGCCTGGGTAACAAGAGCAAAACTCCGTCTAAAAAAAAAAAAAAAGGTAATCTTTCTGTTTAAAAGATTTCTTAAAATAAGTTTAAAATTATTTCCTTAGTGCTACTATATAGTTTTCAGTACTTTAACACTTAATGCAATTACTCAGTAAGGAGCTAATTTTACAGCAAGAGACAGCATGGAGATATACAATTTCCAGGAAAAATTTTATGAATAGATTTACAATAAGGCATAGACAAAGCATTTATTGACTGCCTATCAAATGTCTGGTCTTTTGCTATTAGACTATGTGTTTAGGCTCAATCTCAGGGACTTCCCAAAATGAGTACTAGCCTATCCAAAAATTCTATCAGGTTTAACATGATATTTAACTTCTACTTTCACAATGTGAATTTGGCTGAAAAACAGTAATAACAATTCATTATTCCAAAAATTAACAAAGAAAGGAAAAGAATAAAGCTTTCTTTTTCTTGAAAGTTGTCTCGCTATGAAATCTTTAATTTGTTAAATATTTTCTACATATCCTCAACTGAATGTTCTAATGGCAAAATTATAAAGGCAATAATCATTAAAGCATTATATTCTGACCTTTGCTAATAATGCATCATGAATACAATTTATTATATATGTTAGGAATGATCTTACTCAATGACTCTAATTCAGTAACTTATCAAGATAAGCTCATTCTATTAAAAAGTAAAAATTTTGAAGAATTACCTTTTCCTGAAATGACTTCTTTTTCTACTCGCCACCTAAATCCAAACTAATAATAAAAAAATTACACTTATGCCAATGTAAATTTAAACATTAAATTTAAATTATACAGAATCTAAACATGGAGCCAACAATGACATTCACCAACCTAAAAAATAAATGTTATTCCCATCATGACAGATTTTTCTCTTCTTATAAGATTTAAAGTGCTTGAAAATACATTGAACAATTACCAATTTATCTGTTAAGAACAACCTACTTTAAGATATCTTAAAAGTTATAGGTGCCGGGCCACAAGATACCTAAGTTAACAAATAATATATCCTGTTCCATACCACTGACAAGAAAAAAAGAGGTTATGGTATAGTAAAGAAGCAGTATATTCTAGTATAAAAAAGTACAGCCTTTGGAGTCAGATTATTTAGGTTTGTATTTTAGCTCTACCACTTAACAGCTATATAGTATTGGGCAAGTTATTTAATCTCTTTTTGCCTCAGTTTCCTCATATATATAAAGTAGAAATTTGAGTGCCTACTTCCTTGGTACTCTTAGAAGTTTAAAGAGGTTTAAATGAGATAATACATATGAAGCACTTAGAATAGTAACTAGCATACTCCAACAATCATGCTTCCCGGTATTTACCCAAATGGGCTGAAAACTAATGTCCACACAAGAACCTAAATATAGATGTTTACAGCAACTTTATTTCTAATTGTCAAAACTTGGAAGCAACCAAGACGTCCTTCACTAAATGAATGGATAAATAAACAACAGTGGTATATCCAGACAATGAATAATATTCAGTGGTAAGAAGAAATACCAAACCATGAAGACGTGGAGGAACCTTAAGTGCATATTACAAAGTGAAAGAACCCAATCTGAAAAGGCTGCACATATATGATTTCAACTATATGATATTCCAGAAAAGGTAAAACTATGGAGGAAGTAGAAAGATCAGTAGTTGCCAGCATTTAGGAAGGAGGGTGGGATAAACAGGTGGAGCACAGAGGATTTTTGGGGCAGTGAAAGTATTCTCTGTGATACTATAATGGTACACATCATTATACATTTGTCAAAAGTGGTAGAACATACAATATCAAGAGTGAGCCCTAATGGAAGCAATGGACTTCAAGTGATAATGATGTATCAATGTGGGTTCACTGATTGTAACAAATGTACCACTCTGGTGTGGGATGCTGACAGTAGGGGAGGCTATGCATGCATGAAGGAAGAGGGTATATGGGAACCCTGTACTTCCTGCTCAATTTTGTCGTAAACCTAAAAATGCTCTACAAATTAAAAATAAAAAATACACTCACAAAGATTACTTGAACCCAGGAGGTGGAGGCTGCAGTGAGCCATGATCATGACACTGCATTCCATCCTGGGCAACAGAACAAGATCCTGTCTCAAAACAAAACAAAAAAAAAATCACTCAGCTCTAGAAACATGCATACCTGTATCCAACTCAAGAAGCTCTGTCACTCATTAGGTCTTAACCTTGGGAAAGTTACTTAACTTCTCTATTTCCTCTTCATGTATAAAATGGAATAGTAACAACCTTGAGTTAACAGGATTGTATATTAAGACAGAGGATTCAGATAAAGCATTTAAATGCCTTGCTAACTTCAGTCTGTTTGTGTGGTTTTTTTTCAGCCTCCCAAGTGGCTAGGACTACAGGCAGCTAGGACTACAGCATGTGCTACCGTGCCTGGCTAATTTTATTTGTTTATATATACAAGGTCTCACTATGTTGCCTAGGCTGGTTTTGAACTCCTGGCCTCAGGCTATCCTCCCATCTCAGTATCCCAAAATACTGGGATTATGGGCATGAGCCACTGTGCCTGGCAATTTCAACTGTTTTTTTTTTTTTTAAATCATCAATCTATTACTTGAATTTGGCAATTTTGTATTTTAAATGCAAATAAAGGCTCAAAATATTTCAAAATATTCTGATTAAAACCCAACAAAAATAAAATCTTCCAAATCTACGGGAAAAACTTAAATTTCAGGATAACTCTGTTTAATTATATTTTTAATCCTATATATACATGTGGAGATTGCTTGCCATCCAACATATGTTAGGATGTCTACTGAAGCATGGCCAAGTGTAACAGCAATAGTCTCCAAACTTTCTTCTTCATTCATTAATCTAGTCAACAGACAACTTTATTAAGCAACTACCTATTGGGCTTGCCATTCCACTGAAGATAAAGTGATTATTAAATAGCATGTCACCAAGAAGGTTATAATCTTACAAGGAAATAATAAATGTAACAAAACAACTGCATTATATCCTACTAGTTATAGACTGTATATTCTCTCCTGACATAAATTTCCTAGTTTGGAGTAAAGCTAAAGTTATTCAGGGTTTGGTGCTGAGCCTCCTTTTCTTCTCACTCTGCACTCATCACAATGAGGTCACATATGCAAGCAGTAAACAAGAAGAATTCTGACTTTATGACCAGGCACTTGGACTTTTATGTATAAGAAAAATAAACTTTCTAGCTCACTTGAGCCAGTGGTTTTTTTCGGAGAGTGTTCTCTGTCCTTGCAGCTGAACCTAATCCTAACTGATACAATGATCCAACTAAAGAGGGGAAATGCAATAAAGAAAGGAATAGGAGTAAGAGGCAAAGGTGGAAATTCACCAAAAATACTCTAAAAGTATCTACCATATATATTAGGAGCTGGTTTTAATTAAGTGAATAATGCTCTGTCTTTGTATAAATAAAGGGAAGAGAAAGTGCATCTTAGCAAGGGAACCAAAGCCATTACTCTTTCTCCAACACCTCAAACATGGTATGCCAAAACCAAACTCATTATCTTCCCCCGACAAAAAAATCACTCTCCAAATTCTGTATTTCTCTCAGCATCCATGCTCATAATCTGAGTCATATCTGATTTTCTTGCTGCATTTACCCTCATATCCATTCACTCATCATGTTCTAGTAGAAAAATATACATTTTTCAACACTCTCTTTATGATTTCCAGTGGTATGCTTTTTAAAAAATTGAGAATTCAAATATTTAATTTTTATTTATGTATACCTTCTCCCTTCAACTAGAGTAGCTTTTTCTGAAGATTAATCACCATGTATTAATCCACAGTACCTGGTCCAGTTTCAATAGATACTGAACAACAACAAAATACTGAAGAATTATGATGGTATTAGGAGGTGGGGAAAAATTAAAAAAGAAAGAAAAAAACAACTTAAGAACAATCCATGAACAAGCCAGAACTGAAAAAGCTGCTTTGTTACATGTCCCTAGAAAGACATAATTTTCAAGCTTGATTTATAACACAGTAACTTTAACTCCAATTACTGTGGTGCTTTTTGAATCAGATGTGGTACAGAAAGAAGACAGCTGTGAACTGAAGACCATAACCAGTTCATAAGAAACAGAAGTTTTGGGGACATATTAAGTGCATGGGTTTATAAATAGGGTATACAAAATGAACATTATTACTATTTTCTAGAAGAAACTTTGAAACAACACACATATTAAAGGGACTACTGAAAAAAATTATTAAATCAACCCTGGTTCTAATGAGATCAAATGATTTAAATAAAGAAATCTTCATGATATATAAGATAGCTTTTTAAATAAGTTTTTTTCTTAATACAAATATACAGTACCTATAACACATATTTATGCAACATTCCTTCCTCTCACATTTCCAACTGAGATCTGCTCCTGGGTCACCTTTTCCAGCTATAATCTGAAGTTTGAGATAGAAATAAAAATAACTTTTTATTTTTTAAAAAGTCTCACTATCACCCACACTGAAATGCAGTGGTATGACAGCTCACTACAGCCTCAAACTCCCGAACTCAAGTAACCTTCTAACCTCAGCCTCCCAAGTAGCTAGGACAACAGGCAGGTACCACTGTACCTGGCTAATTTTTTTTTTTAATTTTTGTGGAGACAGAGTCTCACTATACTGCCCAGGCTGGTTTTGAACTCCTGGCCTCAAGCACCTTCCTGCCTCAGCCTCCCAGAGCGCTGCGATTACAGACATGAGCCATCACAGCCAAAAATAAAAATATAAAAATATTAACTAACGTAAGATGTAAAGTGGGAAAGGAAATTTGCCATTGCTAATTAGCGCTGATTGAAATGTTAATTTTACTAGAATACACATTTACGTAATAGAAGGTGTACATCTGGATCTCTATAAATAGTAATCAATTTTTAAAAATCTATCAATTTCAAACATCATCTGTGAAATAAGACATTATTCTGTAGAGTTAAATCATTCATTACAATCACTAGAGGCTCTAGACTAGACTCAGGATGATGCAGGATCCAATAGTCACTTGTGTTTAATTTTAGACTTTTCATGCCTCAGCTCACAAAGAAAAAAAAGCATCCTTGTCCTTCATAAATTTCCACAGGCCTTTTGTAAAACTCCACAGCTGCAGAGGTTAAATGGTCCAAATGACACATCATAAATGCAGGACAACTGAGTCTAGAATTAGCATCTTTAAAAGAATAATATGGGACATTATAGTATAAAAGTTAATATTTTACTTGAATAAGAACCTCTTTCCATAAATATGTGGGAAGCATACCTTATTTTCTTTATATTTACTGAGATCTGCTATGCAGTATTCCTTAAATAATTTATCATAGTATTTCTTAGCAAGTCTCTTCTCCCTAGATTCATAAAAATATAAATATTATACATTTAGAAACTCGACCATGGTTTGCTACTTGCAAGTGATGTCAAAGAACACATAGGAAATAAACATTAATGTTTTAAGAGAACTATTACTTACATGTGCATAGAGTATCTGGATATTAACTATTAATAGTGGTTCCCTCAGCGAGGGAAATTGGAGAACTGACAGTCACAAATGAGAAGGACAATCACTCTTCACTGTTTACCCTTTGTAATGTTTAAATTAAAAAAATTTTTTAAAATATTTTCAGGTATGACTTTTTTCCAAAATACTTTAAAAATTAAAGCAGCAGCATATAATAGCATATTACAAGATAACACACAATACTGTAAAAAGAAATGATATTTTTTGAAGACTAAGTCAAACAATGAGAAGTCAGTTAAAACTGTCAAAAATTACCAAAAGAATTGAACAATCCTAGGTAAGATTTTATGTCCTTGATCAAGAATTGTTCTATGAAGGGGCTGAACACCTTGACTAAGTGACAAAACAACAACAACAACAACAACACTCAGAGAGAGACAAAAAAAAAAACAAGAGAGCCAGGACTAAAGCATTTCATGCATTATGCCTCTGATGGCTAATTACCAAGTCATGTCCATTTCGTCCTCCTCATTCCACAGGAATCTGTGATTTTCTCGTATAACATCCATGTCTGTCTTGTCATTTTCCCTGGAAAATAAAACTTTTTCAATTTGATACAAAAACGAAAGTAGTCAAATTTAGGTTAAATAGCTCTGTGAGTTTTGGAAAATTTTATTAAAAACATAATACATAGCTTTTTTGTGAGTGTATATACTTGTTCATATATTTATAAAAATACTTCAATATTTTCAAAAGGCACTTATAAAAAGTGCTGCTACAGAAGCAAGTTAAATGGATAAGGAATCTGTCTATAGCATTGGTTTCAATTATACAAATGGTGCTAAGCTACCAAAGCTAGAATGAGAAACTTGAATAAACACTAAATGAATAAAGTAAATGAAAATAAGTTTCAGAATTTAATCAAAAGTCCATAAAATGCCTCTCTCCTGAGATTTAATTTTTAAAAATATGAAAAGTTTTCCATAGCTCATTTTACTACAGTTTCCTAGGTAGAAGACTGAGTAAAGGAGGAAGAGAGCCAAAGGGACTGATCTTTCAAAATAAAATGCTAACCGGGGTTTAAAAAAAAGTGATTGTTGGGAGATACAGGATAAATTAATAGGGGAGATAAATCGGGGGTAAATTAGACAGTACTGAAATTTCTCAGAGCCCTACCAACTCAGAAAAACATTAGAGGAGAAAAAAAAAACCCTCACCCAAAACTAAAAAGTTCTAAGACCCATGTACACTATAGCAGCACAATTCACAATTGCAAAGCTATGGAACTGACCTAAGTGCCCATCAACCAATGAGTGGATAAAGAAAATGTGATACATATAGATATAGATATACAGATGTATAGATACACACACACACACACACCCCTACCTCATGGAATACTACTTAGCCATAAAAAGGAATGAAATAACATCTTTTGCAGCAACTTGGATGGAGCTGGAGGCCATTATTCTAAGTGAAGTAACTCAGGAATGGAAAACCAATTATCGTATGTTCTCATTTATATGTGGGAAATAAGGTATGAGGATGCAAAGGCAAAACAGTGACATAATGGACTTCGGGTACTCAATGCAGGGAAGGCTAGGAGGGAGGTAAGGAATACATATTAGGATTGGTATACTGTACACTGCTCAAGTTATGGGTACACTAAAATCTCAGAAATCATCACTAAAGAACTTATTCAGGTAACCAAAAACCACCTGTATCTAAAAAACTACTGAAATAAAAATAAAAATTGAAAAAAAAAAAAAAAAAAAAAAAAAGTTCTGATAGAAGAGCCTTAAACATGGGAAGCCCTTTGATATGCAAGACATGCCAGAGTGAGATTTCTTGTTTACCTGTCTTTTAAAAAGCAATCCCAAACATTAAGGTCTAAAAATTTCCTTATTTCAAAGATCCCTGCCAAGAAGATATATGAGTATTCCTCAAGCATCCTTTTATCACCAGGGTTGTACCTGGTTCAGTGGGTAAAGAGTCTACTTGAGGCCTGTCCAAAGAAATGGAAATCATGAAACTACTCAGAAGATATAGATGGTATCTCTACCTTATAATATAAAAAGCAAACTGGAATAGAAAGCAGGAAAGAATGACAGAATCAGAAAATCAGTAGCTGTGGGTCTTCAAAGTTCTCCATACCCCACACTCCCTTCTATGTAAACTTCCTGATACTTACCCCAAACGCTTGAAGTCTTCTTTTTTGCCACCATAGTATAAAATATAGTCATTTACAAACTTTGTGTGTCTTTGATACTGAAATGCAAAAAATTAAGGATTTTATTCTCTTAGGAATTGTTTGGTGTCATAATACGTTGCTAAGTGGGAAAAAAAGCATAGTATGAGTCTATTTAGCTTTTTTAAAATATGCAAGTACATACCATACATGCTTATACATTCAGAAAATCTAGAAGCGTATATGCTAAATTGCTGAGAGTGAAGATTGTAAAGTAGAGGCTTTCTTTTGAATATTTTTCAAGCATATACTACTCTTGTGATAAAAATATATCTCCATCTGGGAAGAAAGAGAGCTTCCTATTCTATTGCTGAACTGCATATAGCCTCCTACCACCACTCATTCTAATAATCACAATATGAAAAATTTTAAAAGTGTAGTTTCTAAGAGTAGAGTATGATTTTTCTTTCATTATCATAAAATATAACTTGTCTGTTTTAGTAATGATAAAGCCTCTAAATAGAAGATGCAACTTCTTTTAAATCCTAAAAGTTTCAAAAAAAAAGCAAATATAAAAAATCAATTTTTATACTGTCTTTTAAATTCAGAGAATAAAATACCATGTTTACTTCCAATGCAGTATAACAAAATAAATGAGCATTTTACTAAACTCAATAGCACTCTCTAGTCTAGAGCCAAACATGCACATAAGAGCTAACCTCGCCTTCTATGATACTCTCTGTGACTATTACATTAAAAATAGTGATTTCATTGATCATAATGTGTTCTAATAGACAATCAGAATAGGACATTTCCATATTGTAACAAACCAGTTAATATTTCAGGGAAATAAAAGAGAGACAGACAGGCAGAAAAGCCAAATATCTGGAGATCTGGATTCTAGCTCTTGATCTACCACTAACTGGTCACAAGACCATGGCAAGTCGTGTAACCTATTAGAGCTGGGGTCAGCAAACTTTTTCTGTAAAGGACCAGATGGTAAATATTTCAGGCTTTGCAAGCCATATGGTCTCTGTTGCAAATGTTCAGTTCTGCCATTTTAGCATGAAAGCAGCCAAAGACAACATATAAATGAAGCATGGCTGTATTCCAATATAATTTTATATGCAAGAACAGGTGGTGGGTAGAACTTTTGCTTCTGGGAAGATGGAGTAGACAAAGATGTACTTCTCCCTATTCCTCACACTAACAACTAAAATCCTTGTATATTATATATCAAACATAAAAAGACTCTGAAAGGTGGCGAGAAGAAGGCATACTGCTAGGGAACTGAAAACCTATGGTATGACATGATAGTGAGTTCCCTAGGTTTCCTTTTTGTCTCATATATCCTAGATTCGGAGATAAAGAAGCTAACAACCTGGAAACACCAACAGGCACAGACTAAAAAAGCCTCAACAAAAGCCTGTTCTCCCTAACCAAATGACCAAGAGTCAGCCAAGCAAGACAACTTTTAGACAATAACTACCCTACTCTTACCAAACACCCCAGAGAAAACTGTGGCTCCTAGTCAGAATCACAATGATTAAAAAGTCAAGAAACAACAGATGCTAGCAAGGCTGGAGAGAAATACGAATGCTTTTACACTACTGGTGAAAATATAAAATGGTTCAATCATTGTCGAAGACAATGTGGCAATTTCTCAAGGATCTAGAACCAGAAACACCATTTGGTCCAACAATCCCATTAGTGGGTATATACCCAAAGGAATATAAATCATTCTATTATAAAGATACAGGCACATGTATTTTTATTGCAGCACTATTCACAATAGCAAAGACATGGAACCAATCCAAATGCCCATCAATGACAGACTAGATAAAGAAAATGTGGTACCTATACACCATGTAATACTATGCAGCCACAAAAAGGAATGAGATCACATCCTTTGAAGGGACATGGATGAAGCCAGAAGCCATCATCCTCAGTAAACCAACGTAGGAACAGAAAACCAAACACCGCATGTTCGCACTCATAAATGGGAGCTCAACAATGAGAACACATGGACACAGGGAGGGGAACAACACACACTGGAGCCTGTTGGGGGGAGGGGCAAGGGTGACCGGTTGATGGGTGCAGCAAACCACCATGGTACACGTATACCTGTGTAACAAACCTGCAAGTTCTGCACATGTATTCCAGAACCTAAAGTAAAAAAATAAAATAAAATAAAGAAAAAAGTAAAATAAAATAAATCCTCCCACACAAAGCAAAAAAAAACCTGTGGCTCCACCTCCACGTATACCAGAAAAGGAGTGCCTGTACTTCACTCTCACTAGGCTGTAACTAGGTGCCCCCAATGCAGTGGGTGTCAGAGAAGGCAGAGCAAAGGTTTAAATGCTAAAGGAACAAATGGCAGATGAGATCCATGGAAACACTAAGCTACTGGGTTAGGAGATAAGAGGAATAAATCAATTAGTGACACAATGGTACTTCTATAACTTAAAGAAAAATATTGGAATAATAAATTGAAACAGATGAATACAGGTAGGGGGCGTAGTAAATTGACATTGTCTCCTTCTCCCAATTCTGATCACAGCAATAAATACCTCCAAATGCTTCAGTTCTTGCTTGGCCTCTCTTTAATTCTCCAGTATTCTCAACAGCAGTATGGATGGCCAGCTTAGCAGTTAGTGTCATGAGCCAGTCTTAATAAAACACTAAGTTGAGAAATGGCTACAACTAGGAAGCAGGGTTTATTTTACACAGCTTTAAGTCATGCCTAAAAATTAAAGCCACCACAGGCCTGAGGACAGTCCACAGGCAGACCTAATTTTATTTTTATTTTTTCCTTAGATCCAGAGACAGGCTGGATAGACCTAATTTCAAACACAAATTTTGTAGAGACCTTAAACAGCAAAGAACCAGGTAGGAAGAGAATAAATTAAAATGAGACTAAAGATAAGTATAGGAAAAGGAAATGCTGAAAGCTTGAAAAAACAAGTTGGAAAATATATTTGCAGATTCATGGTTTATAAAGTACTAGTAATATGTTTACTAATTATTTTTGTCTCTAAATCTTTCCTATATATTAGTAAAAGAGAATTGTACCCAAAAGTGTAAATGGCAAATTCCTACATCAATAAATACTTATCTTTAAAAATAAAAAAGCCTATCTGACTTCAAAAGATTTTATAAAACAAAAAAGCAGATTTTAAAATATTCTACTAGTTATAAAAATCTGGAAATATAAAAAGGATACAGCATCCATAGCTATGAGATGAAACCTTCTATTTCTTGCTTCTTCCCTGTTAAAACAAATTTTATTTTAAGCAAATTCACAATGTCTATATTTGAATTAACATAATCAAATCCCCTAGTCTATAATTGATGAAACAACTTAAACCAAGAAACCGAACTGCCATCGAAATACCATACCTATCCAGCAATTCTGCCGCAACTTGTTTATGGGCCACCTTTCCATGTTTTTCTTTCTGAAACGGTTTTTGGAGCAGTAAGTCATCTTCAACTGTCCTGGTATATTAAGAAGAAAATATGAGTTCATTTTTTTCAAAGGGTGTTTTCTAATTCTTTCTATTTTCATAATTGGAATCGATTTTAAAGAATGTAAGTCTTAAGAAGACTCACTGAACTTTAATGAGACATTTTACATTTCCTTAAATAGCTTAATTAATACCTTACTGCTATTTAGTATCTATAACATGGAGAAGATGAAATAACAAAAGCATGGACTCTAGCGTCAGATCACCTAGGTTCCTGATTCAAATCCTAATTCTGTCAATTACTGCCTTAATCTTAGTAAGATTTAATTACTTATCTCTTTGTCTCTTAATTTCTCTAGCTGTAACATAGTGATAAGAAAGTTTTTGGTAATTAATAATATGCAACAAGCAAGACTGATGATAGAGAATACAAAAACACCATAGATCAAGCTTGTCCAACCCGTGGGCCTCATGTGGCCCAGGATAGCTTTGAATGTGGCCCAACACAAATCTGTAAACTTTCTTTAAGAAATTTTTTTGCAATTTTTTTTTTTTTTTTTTTTGAGACGGAGTTTCACTGTTGTTACCCAGGCTGGAGTGCAATGGCGCGATCTCGGCTCACCGCAACCTCTGTCTCCTGGGTTCAAGCAATTCTCCTGCCTCAGCCTCCCGAGTAGCTGGAACTACAGGCGTGTGCCACCATACCCAGCTAATTTTTGTATTTTTAGTAGAGATGGGGTTTCACCATGTTGACCAGGATGGTCTCGATCTCTTGACCTCGTGATCCACCCGTCGCGGCCTCCCAAAGTGCTGGGATTACAGGCGTGAGCCACCGTGCCCGGCCTGCAATTTTTTCAAGCTCGTCGACTATCATTAGTGTATTTTATGCAGGCCCAGCACTGTTCCAGGCCAACAGTGAGCCAACAGATTCACAATTGTGTGTGCTCCACAGTAGTATGTAGCCCAAGACAATTCTTCTTCTTTCAATGTGGCCCAGGGAAGCCAAAAGATTGGAGACCCCTGACATAGACGATCAGCCCTAGTTATAGTGATAAATATAATCCTAGAGCAGAGTATCCAACTAGGTTTGCTCATATTCTACTCTTACAAAGTAATATTTTTGAATGAAAAATCTAGAAAATGTAAACCATCAAAAATGTAATTTATTATCATTGTTACTATCCTTTGGGTTATCACAAAGACTGAATATCTTATAAAAATGTTCAAACCCAGTTAATATGCCTAGAACAATTGCTCTCAGTGTGAAACAATAAGCCAATTTCTATAAAATTGGTTGGCAAAAATCAGCCAACAGCCTGGTGTGTAAGTTTGGTTAGTATACATCAGTCAACCACTCCTGAGTCAAAGTATAAAACAGTTTCTATGCACTGAAAGTTAGGAACAATGCTCCTATGCACAGCAGCTCCACCAAGACATATCCTACTTATAATGCACAGGCTTTATGTGCTAAGAGTTCTTGTCCCTTACAATTCAATAAACCTTCCTTGAGTTTCTTCCCATGACCTCTTAGTCTGCTCATTCATGTATCCATAAGAACTGTGCTGCACTACTATATTTTTATACTCCACGTTAACTTCACTTTGAAGGCAAGTAGTACTAGCAAGAGATCACCATTCAAGCCCCTTCTGAGCTACAAGATTTGCAAATAAACAGTCCTTGACAGTTGAATGAAAAATATATGCAATAAAAAGGTTTCACTGATTTCTGAAAAGATTCCCGAAATCTGAAACTCTTCTCTCCCTTTCAACAACCTCCTTCACAGAATTAACATTTTATTTTTCCCACAACTGTTCTCCAATTTTTAGTCAATGTATTAGTTTAATGAACAAAAATTCATTCACTAGAGCAATTGAATTCACAAGTAAACACAGTTCAAAAATTTCACTCATTTATTTATACTTCATATTAATCTAGAAAGGATGTGAAATACGGATCAATAAAAAAGATTACTTACCTTTTTCTCCTTTTGCTGGATTCTACACAGTGTTCATCATCACTAAAATCAGAATCATAGCCTCCATGACCATGCATCTATAAAGGAGTACAAAGTCAGCTATTTAGAACCCAAGTTGCCAATTGTTCAGGAAACAGAATAGTTCAAAAATAAGTTTTCTTAAACAGCCACAATAATTTTTAAGGATCATTGTGAGCAGATTCCTGTTCACAGGCTATCTAGCCATCTAAAATTCTACTCACTTTTAAATAAGAGATACACCTTTCAGAAAATGCAGCAACATTTTTCACTCTCAATTTATCATTAGGTGAACAAAAAAGGCTACTCTCTGACCTTTTCACTGAAAACCAGGCATAGAAGCTGCAGTGACTGCTTACAAGTTTAGCAATGCTTCACTTTTATTTGATTCAGAGCAGTAACAATCACTGTATATTTACAACTTTGTTCCAGACGTTGTGTTAAGTACATTGCACGCAATGATTCTAATTCTGCAAGTTAGAAAGTATCTTCCTTTAGGAATGAAGTAATCAAAATTAAGTAAATCTATTCTACAAATCTAGTAAGTGGCTAATCTGCTCTACTTGATTCTTGAGCCCACAATTTCAACTACTCCAAATTTCCTCTCTGGAATATGACTTACTATACTCCAGGAGAATTACAGTATTTGTGAACAGTACATCATCAATTGATGAAAATTTTCCTGTAATCTTTTTCAACATATGTAGATTTCCGTTCTTTTAGGTTTCTTTAAGGTAAACTACCTTGCCCTTTGGTCAGCTTTCTCATTTCATTTTATTTATTTGGTGTTTTTGGAGAGTCTCACTCTATTGCCCAGGCTGGAGTGCTGTGGTGCCATGATGACTCATAACATCCTCAGCCTCCTGGTATCAATGGATCCTCCCACCTCAGCTTCTCCAAGTAGCTGAGACTACAGGAGTGCACCACCACACCTGGCAAATTTTTTAAAAAATTTTTTTGTAGATAAGGGGTTTCACCATGTTGCCCAAGCTGGTGTCAAACTCCTGGGCTCAAGCAGTTTGTCTGCCTCAGCCTCTCAAAATGCTGGGACTTCATTTTTGAATTGAAATTCTTAGAAATGCTGGAAGACCTCAGTTGTCACTCAATTGTGTTGGAAGAAGCTTCAGGTTCCAACTTTACACTGAATTTGGAACACACACTAAGAGAAATGGATGGATTATTTGACAATTTGATGTCATAAATAAGTAATTTACATGGCTAGAAGGAACGGTCCAGGTTAAATGACATATCAAATTATTAAAACTAATATAATGACAGCAAGTACAGCAGGAAAAAGAGGAAAGAATCCCCTAAACTTCATGGCACTGGGTCTAGGATAGACAACATATTTCTAGTCCTGGCTACCTTGAGTAAGTAATTTCATCTCCCTGGACTTCATCCAATAGATAGCTACATCTAATAAGGTAGCTACGTGAAATAACATTTAAGTTGTTTATATCTTCAAATAACCTTTAAAGTCTGTAATTCCATTTTCAAACTTAGGCGTGTGGGTGTATACCTCTCTTCTTCGTCCCACTGAATTCCCAGATAGGAAGACGCTAGTCAAGGTTGAAGATGAAGGTTAGAAAGCCACAGTTCCAACTCTACCCTCGCTTACATCTGTTATTGCCTTACACACCTGGATTTTACACCCTTTATCAGGTCAACTCCAGCTGTCTTATCACATCTGTTCAAGCTATAATGTCCTCTCACTCTTTGTCCTAAGTCCTCACTTTCTTTACATCTTAATGGGAGACAGCTGTAGTGTGGAGTTTGGAGATATATTCTGGGATGAGCCTACTAGAATTCATAGCTTTTCTTTCTTTGGGCCTGTTCATTAACCTCTCCAAGCCTCAGTATCCCTATTTATAAAAAGAGGCTCGTCAGATAACTGACCTCACAGGAATGGAGATTAAATCAGTTACCTCATCTAAAGGGTTTCACCGGTGTCTCGGATAGTGAAACCCAGCAAATGTTAACCATCATCATCATCTTGCCATTCCCCCAGGACACCACTTCCTACTCTTGCTTCCACTCTCCCATTTCTTTATTCTCCGGTCGCTCTACCCAACCCATACCTATCTTAACTCACTGGGTAAACTAAAAAGCTCTCGATCACTTCAGACTACGAATCAACTGACAAGAGCCGAGAGAAACTCGAGAACGGAGATGCCAGGTGCCTCCAGAATCTGTCATGCAAAAAGAAAAAAAAGAAAAACCTACGATCAACTAGTACTATAAGAAAAACAAGTTTTGAGGTCCTTCTCCCCGACGCCAAATATAGCCACAGCCCTCCTCACACACCCTTTCCCTTCCTCCCTGTGTGCCAAGCTCGCCCCCGGAGTCTTCGTTTCCTTCTTTCCCGGCAGCTGTAGCGACGACCCTCGGCCTCTGAGAGCCGCTGCAGGGCAGGTCCCGTGCGCCCGGCCGCGCAGCCTCGCCACAGTTGCCGCCGCGTCGCCCGCTGCCCGCCTCTCCCTACGGGTCCCGACTGGGCACCACTTCCGGTCCGACACAGCCACGTGTTACATCTAAATGGCACCGTCCCGCGAGTGCGCCGACTTTGTGCTACAGCCAAATAGCTCCGGGAAACAAGGGTAGCGGGAGTAAAGGCCCGGAAGGGGACGCAGAGGCTTCCAGCTTTCGCCATGTCGCGGCTCCCAGTTTTTCCTGGGCCTTCTTCCTTTCCCATCTAGAGAATCCGGCATCTAGCACCGCTGGCACTACCTGCTGCTCAGCCCACGCCTCACATTTGAAAATATATTTTGTTTTACCCTGCCACCTGCCGTCCTCTCTCTAGTAACCTTAGTAACGCCTCCTCGGAGGATCCTCACAGAGCATCTCATCAGCGCTTCAGATCAGCCTCTCCCCCCTTCCCCCTGTAATACAGTTCTCATAATTAGAACAAAAATATCTTTCCATCGTTTCACCACCCACACAATAGATACCATTCCGAGAGCAGTGCTGATGGCAGAAGAGCTCATCGAATTTGTGAGAAAAGAAAGAATAGGGAGGAGAGATTTCTCAGGGTTGAGGATTCTCTGCTGACAAGCGACCTGGCACATGCGAAAAGGGTTCCAAAATAGAATCTTAAAAAGAAGAAGAAGAAAGGCAGGAAAAGTTGGATTATTTTAGGCGCCACTAGGTTATTCCTGTGCTTTGCCTTTTCTACATCACGACGCCCCACTCTTTCCAGCCTAGTTGCTTGGTTCATGTCTTGTCTCTCGCTGGCATGAGCAGCTCTTCATTTTTGCTTCTTCCTCGGTACCCAAAACGGTGCCTTGGAAATCTCAAGTGCTAATTAAATATTTGTTGAATTGAACTGGCACGCTTCTGGCTTTTACAGTGGGCCCTTTTTAGAGAAAACCTTGGCACTTAATGCACACTCATTTTATATCTTTTGCCCTGCACAGTAGATAACGATATCCTTATCAGTTCAAGTCTCTAATCCTGACAATAAATTATAGATACATTCTGCTTTACCCATTGCAGTGAATGTGATCTTAAAAGGCTCTAAGATAAATTAAATTATTGTAAATTAAATTATTCTAAAGTGCAATCAGTTTATACTTCAATAAAACCGTTTACTAAAAAAAATTTAAAGCAATGGGAAGCCTTACAATTTAATGTTACAGTATATTGAATTATTTTGTCAAGCAGTTTCTTTTTTGGTAAATAATATTAAATACATAATTAGTTTATTATTAATAAAACTAAACACACCTGTATCTCATATCCAATTTCCTTTCTATCCATATTTGACATTTATTAGCATTTTTCTACCATCCCCAGTATCTTCTTGTTTGTTGTTTCATTTTACTCTTCCAACAACCCTGTGCTGCTGTATTATTAGCCTCATTTTACACATGAGGAAGACAGGCACAGAACCTAAAGCCACAAACCTGGCGAGGGTTGAGAACTGGGTAGTACTTGTCTTGGTCTCTCTATAAGACCCAATTTCTCTCTCTTTCTTTCTCTCTTTTCTCTCTTTCTCTCTCCCCCCCTCTTCATGGATTGTGTGGGAAGTAGCTTCTGGTTCCAACATTTCTAAGAATTTCAGATCTGTTGCTACCAGTCCATTCAGGCAAAGATTTCCATTTTTTACTTTGAGTTTTTACAGCAGTTACTGAAAAAGAGTAAATAGAAAATATATACTAGGCATAGATTGTGTGATCTGAACTAAAAATAATACAGGATAGAAAACCTTTACCTGCTTAGGAAATCTCAAGTTAACAATTACAGCACAGCAGCAATACAGCACAGCAGCAATAAAAAACACAAATATTTATTAAGTGCCTACTCTGGGCAGGACACTGTCCTAGGCATCAGGGTTACAGGTAACAGCAACTCCTTACCCTTCAAGGTTAACTAGTAAGAAAGACAATATATGGAATCATTACAATATATTCTATCACATGGCAAGTGTCTAGTAAATGCATGAACCTGTTGTTCCTACTTTGTAAAATATGTTATTTCAATGGATGTGAAAATTTAAATGTGTACTAATGCTGTGTAACTCAAAGCAACAACATACTATGTTAGGTATGTAGCAAGGATGTGGGAAGTTGTGCGATGGTGGTGGTGATAATACCAAGTAGTAATTCTAATATAAACTATGAATGTGCACTCTTTGTCGCCCGGGCTGGAATGTAGTGGTACAATCTCAGCTCGCTGCAACCTCTGCCTCCTAGGTTCAAGAACTCTACTCTTTCAGCCTCCTGAGTAGCTGGGACTACAGGCGCATACCACGCCTGGCTAATTTTTGTATTTTTTTTTAATAGAGATAAGGTTTCATCATATTGGTCAGGCTGGTCTAGAACTCCTGACCTCAGGTGATCCATCCACCTTGGCCTCCCAAAGTGTTGGAATTACAGGCATGAACCACCACACCCAGCAAATGTGTTTTCCTTTTCCTTTCCCTTTCTTTTTCTTTTCCTTCTTTTCTTTTCTTTCTTTCTTTCTATTTCTTTCCTTCTTTTTCTTTTTTCTTTTTCTTTCTTTCTCTTTCTTTCTTTTTTTTTTTTTTTTTTTGAGATGGAGTTTCGCTCTTGTTACCCAG